GGTGATGCTTTTGACATCATAAACTGATAACCTATCCGGGCACTGGTGGCTAATACCTGTAATCCTAGCTATTCAGGAGGATCACTGTTTGAAGCTAACCCAAGGCAAATAGTTTGTGAGACCCTATCTTTAAAATACCCAACACAAAATAGGGCTGGCTGAATGACTCAAGTGTAGAGCGCCTGCCTAGCAAACCTAACAAGTATAAGGCCCTGAGTTCAAACCCAAGTACTGCACCCCCCAAAAAACTCCCAAAAAACCAAAAACCAACCTTTTAGAAATGACTAAGCAAAAGCTAGAAAACTGAACCTAATGGGCTCTTTTTTTTTTTTTGAGACAAGAACTTACTATGTAGCCCAGGCTCCTGCCTCAGCATCCCTAGTGCTGGGATTACAGATGTGTACCACCACACCCAGCTACACATACCTTTTTTGTGTGAGAGTGGAGTTTGAACTCAGGGCTATGTCCTTGCAAAGCAGGCACTTTACTGTTTGACACTTCTAGTCCATTTTGCTGTGGCTGTTTTGGAGATGGGGGTCTCACAAACTATTTGCCTAGGCTGACCTCAAACTGAGGTCTTCCCAATCTCAGCCTCTCAAGTAGCTAGGATTACAGACATGAGTCACTGGCACCCGGCTTATTCATACTTTTGATTGAATAATTTGATTTTGGGGGACCAGTCCTAGGAAAATTCAGTTTATGAAAGTAATCAACTGCACAGAGACTATATTTTGCAGCACTTAATTTAAAAAGTAATATTTGTGTGCACAATAAAAAATCAGAAGGTCAAATTTTATCTCTTTGTGATCTTCAGTTATTTGTGCCAGGGAAAGTGGGCAGAAATTGGCACTGGTTGTCCTGAGAGGTTAGTAAGCTTATTAATCAGCCTCTTGTGAATGTTGTTAATGAGTTATACCTATAGCATTTGATGAAGAATTGATAACCTGAGTTTCTGGAACTACAGGTGTGAAGACCAGATTCTAGGCTTGTTGGAGATAGCCCTTAATGTTGGGCAATAATCTACCAATTGCTATCCCACTGTAGCTGCCAAGCTGAGACCATTACTTCCCCTGGTCTGAGCACTGTATTTTCATTAATGCAGAAACGATTGTTATTTTTTTAAACTTTGGGCTGAATCTGTACTTCAAACCTTCACCTAGATGGACATACATGTGTAATTAAAATTTTACAAGGAGAAAATTACTACCCGGTGTGATCTAGTAGGCAAAAATCCTTTCAACACTTGAGGTTCTGCAAGGGAGAGTAGAAGACAGTACGTAAAAGGGGTTCTTTGGTGCCAGGCATGGTGGCTTATACCTGCAATCCCAGTCACTTGGGAGGCAAAGATTGGGAGGATCAGGGCTCGAGTCCAGCCTGGGGAAAAAGTTAGTGAGACTCCATCACAATGAATAAACAGTGGTGCACTGTTATCATCCCAGCTACTCAGGAGGCTGTAGGTAGGATTGTGGTCTGAGGCCTACAGAACCTTACTTGAAAAATAATAAAAGACTAGGGGTGTAGCTCAAGTGGTAGAGCACCTGTTTAGCAAGCGTGAGGCCCTGGGTTCAATCCCCAATACTGCCAAAAAAAAAAAAAAAGTAAAAGTCTATAGCTTCTCCATTCACCTACACCTATTCTTATGAGGTCATAGTTAAGAATAATTTGGTGCTGATTCTTAACACCTCTTTGCATTTCAGAAACTCTGGTCATTCTATGCATTTATTTGAGATTGTTGACATGTGTGGTTGCTTATGATGTTGGTATTCCTTGTTTGAAAAGGCATCTGTTATTTTTTCAATAGTGCTTTTAAACTGGATTCAAGCAGCAGTGAAGAGTCTGAGCCCCGTAAGTTGAGTCCTCTCAAAACAGTAATGTGTGTGATAAAGTATCTTTGTGGAGATGGCTGAAGTAAGACTTGGGATGCTTGGCATATGCTGGTCCTAGATTTGTCTTCTCTAGGGTTCTCTCTAGGTTGTTGAAATGAAGTTTATTTCCCTGCTGTCTGTCTGTGCTTCTTTTCTAATTCCTTTACCTGTTTTTGGTTCCTGAGTCTCCTTTTTTTCTCTCTTTGCATGGGAGATGGAAATCCATTTTTGTGGTGCTGGGGGTGGAATCCAGGGTCTTGAGCATGCTAGGCAAGTTCTCTGCCACTGAGCTATACTCCCAGCCCTACGGAGATGTAAAATTTACAAGTTCTAATTTATGAACTTTGGTTTTAGGGAGTTAAAGATATGGGCAACAGATTTTGTTATGCTTACGATACTTCCTAATGCTTCCTTGCTTTCTCTGATTTAGTCCTGGCCATAAAAGAACCTCAGAAGAGACAGGTTGGGTAAGTAGGAGAATTGTTGAAACTTGACTTTTTTTTTAATGAAGAAAACATTCTGATGTTCTGGGTAAGAAGACTTAAGAGTAAGCATCACATTTCCTCTGTGAACACTATGTAGGTTCTTGGCAGAACTATAATGGTTGTTTGACTTCACAACCAGTTTAAAAATATTAGATTGTTTATCCCTATAGATTCTTTATCTATTGGTTAGTTTCTTCCTCACAATGTCTTCATGAACCATGCCTTAACTTCTGGTCTCTACTAGTGGACACATCACATGATCTCTTCTTTCTGTCATCCAGTCTGCATGCCACTTCCAGGGTAATCTCCTGAGGTACTGCTTTGATCATATTGATGCCTGCATCAAATAGCTCATCATATAAAAATCAAGCTGTGTAGCCAATATTTTAATTAATTAATTTTGCTTTTTTGAGACAGGGTCTCACTATGTAGTCCAGGCTGTCTTTGAACTCAGACTTGGGATCCTTCTGCCTCAGCCTCCGGAGTGGTAGGATTACAAGCAAGATCCACCAAGCCCAGCTAGTTTAGTGTTTAAAGCTCTCTGTGATCTGGCTGTAAATCTATCTTCCAGCCTTACCTATTATTCCTATTGTTGGGTTGTTTTTTTGTTTATTTTTTGAGATAAGGTCTTGCTCATTTTTTGAGGCAGAGTCTTCTCTAAGATGGCGTCAAACTTGCCATCAGGCTTCTTAGTGCTGGGACTACAGACATATGCCACCATACCCGGATAATTATTTGCATTCTTATATTCTTTTTCTTTTAGGTGGTACTGGGGTTTGAATTCAGGACCTCGTGCTTGCTAGACAGGTACTCTGCCACCTGAGCCACTCCACCAGCCCAGTTATTTGCATTCTTGAGTGGTCTATCATGGTTCCTAAGAAGCATTCTTGTTTACAATATCCTGTATAATATTAAATTTTAATTTCTAATAAAAAGTACCTGATTTTTAAATAGAAATATTGGTTTCATATGGGCATGGTGGTACATACCTATAAAGCCGCACTTGAGAGGCAGAGGCAGGAGGATCTCCAGGTTGAGGCAAGCCTGGGCTGTATAGAGAGACCCTGTCTCAAAAACAACACAGAACAAAACCAAAAATAGGTTCCTTCCAGTCTGTAAAAAGTACTTGCTGAGGAAATAAATAAAATCTATTTAGACTGACATTTAAGGAGTGCCTACAAGTCCTTGTAAAGACCCAGGTGGCTTCTATATATGGGATACTATAGAATAGTGGATTTTCTTTTTCTTCTTTCTTTTTTTTTTTTTTTGGTGGCACTGAGGTTTGAATTTAGGGCTTCATGCTTACTAGGCAGGCATTCTTACCACTTGAGCCACTCTGCCAGCCCTAGAAGAGTGGATTTGGAGAGGAAGGTAAGAGTTCAGTTTGGGACAAGACATTCAGAGAACTGATACTGATCATGTTCATTCTAGAAAAGGATGAAGAGAAGAATGTTGCATTCATATTTCTCTTTTTTCCTCATCTCATCATTTAGGAGTATGATAATTGACTCAGACTCTGATGAAGAAAACTTTACCCAATGGGAAAAGAAAGCTAAGATGTATGAAATAAGCAGTGAAGGCAAGTATACACCTTCCTCAGAGAAACAGCTGTGTGCGGAAGCCTTGTCACACACAGCAGTTTCAGGATTCTAGCCAGCAAACTTTCTGTTTGTAATCACTTAGTAGCTAGTGCCACCGTTTCTTTCCTGACAAGTGCTAGTTGTGGGTATGGCTGTTTTTCCTGCCACCGGATCCATTTCCTAACACAGCAGCAACTGTTTGGGTTGCTTTAGACCTTGGGTGGCCTCCCTGTTAGATTTTTTTTTGGTGGGATAGGGCTTGAACTCAGGGCTTTGCATTTGCAAAGCAGGCACTCTACCACTTGAGCCATACCTCCAGGCCATTGAGCTCTGGTTATTTTGGAGTTGGGGGGGGGTCTCATGAACTGTTTCCCCAGGCTGGGCTCAAACTGCCATCTCAGCCTCCCAAGAAGCTAGTTTTACAGGTGTGAACCCCTAACCCGGGAAAACTTCTTGCCTACTAATGCTCCACTGAAAAAGCAAAGAAGAGAAAGTAAACAGCTGAGGCTGAGAAGTTTGGGGGCTGTTCTGCTACTAGCTCTTCCTCTCTTTCCCTCTGCCCTCACATGTGGGAATGACAAGGAAGAGGAAAGGAGTGAGGCATGGACTGGGTCCACCTTTTTAGCTGATGGAGTCTCAGGGTGGTGTAATGATTTAAACAATGCCAGCTACCATCTACTGGCTCCATAGTTACATAAGATAGAGAGCATCAAAAGTTTAGCCAGGACATAATCACAAAATAAAGGGTAGCCTTGTAGATTATAGAAACTTAACTTGGTGCAAAGGAAACATCTATTTTTAATTCTAATTTCTCCTAATTTCCTATGGACCAGTGAAAATATGCAGGTCTGCAGGCCTGTGTTTGGGAGCCACTGAGCAACTACATCCTGCTATTTAGAGAATGTGATTTGCCACTGCACTTTGATTGCTCTTTTATCTGTCATCTCTCAGTTCAGTAAAAACAGAAAAAAATACAGGGAAAACAAGCTAAACATAACAAAGATTCAAAACTGTGATTCATAATGTCACCGTGCCCAACTCGTTTAATTTTTGTTCAATAATCTCGTGTTATGTATCTGAAGGTGGTAAAGGAGGTATATTTACAAATGATTGTGTCTCAAATTTCAGGTGAGGTTTTGGACAACTTGCCAACCATTATTGATGATGATTACAATTACAATGTGAAGGCTTCTGAGCTTAGTAGAAGAAATTCCCATGCTCAGGCCCTAGTTTCTTCAAATATAAAAGATGCTGATGTTGTCTCCCAGCCCAATTCATCTTGTACTGTAGATGAGAAACAGTGTCATGCTGAAAATCTTGACCAACCACAAAATACTAACCAGGAAATGACAGGTGAAACATTGCCTACTGATGAAAAGTCTGTGTCTGTGGTAGACCAACCAAGGAAAAGGAAGGAAAAAACCAAACATCTATGTGTGAAGCCTGGTAAGCAAAAATGTGTCCCTGCTCCACAGAATGTGCCCAACCCAGTAAATTTGCCTGCTGTGTTGAGCTGATGTTATCAGGCCTGCCCATCCTGCCTGCAAACCTTGAGCCATTACAGCAACCTGCTAGTGGCAAAGGGGAGCAGTAAAAAAGGATCTTTCTGGAAGTCAGGGAGTCTTTCTTATGTTCCCATATCCAGTGTTTGCTGTTCTGCACTCACCCCACCCCCCAGAATACGTTCTCTCTGTACCTTTTGTCCTGAGCATATGCTGTTTTCTTTTCCTTTGTTTCTTTTATTTCTTTTTTTTTTAATTTTCAATATTGGGAATTGAACTTGATATCCCATTTTCCTAGGACCCCGCCTTATTGTCAGTTTTTCATAGATGAAGCCATAAATTAGAGCGACCCCTCCTCCTGGGTTCCCAAGCTTTAAAGCCTCCCTTCTAAAGCACTATTCATAATCCCACTAAGTTATAATGTGTCCCCAAGTCTGTCTCATCTCATCACTAGCCTCTTCATGGGAGGACTCTTACTCATCTAAGTGAGGCTAAAGTCTCTCTCAGGTTCTAGCCTGGTGATTGGCATGTAACAGATGTTTAATAAATTTTTAAAATTAATAATGAATGACACTAACTATGGTTTCTGAGCCTCTGGGTACAGTTATTGGCAGTGAGGGTCCTATATAAAGGTAGAAAGGTCTGGCTTGCATATTGGGTGAGTGTGCTGCCAGGGATGTGAGCTATTCCATATCACTTCTTGGTCCTCATGCGCCTGGGTTCCCCATGCAACCTGGCCTCTAAGGACACATTCCTGGACTCTCATGACAGTCCTCAGTACCTGCGACAGAATCCTACCCAGCTCACTTTGCTGGTGGCTCAGTGATTTCCCTAGACAAACTCACTCAGAAGACAGTAATATGCAGCCTTGTACATAGTTTCATTGAAAGATGTTGTCCTGTACTTGACTGTGGGGGGTCTCTTCCTGGGTTTACCTTTTTGTTAGTTACTTGAAGGTATCAATTTTCAGGATATAAATCAAGTGCTATCCTTCCAGCTGGCAGTGGATTGAAAAAGCCAAGACTTTCAAAGAAGAGACCCAGTGAAGGGTAAGTTGAAAAATGTGAGACTAGGTATGTACTGCTCAAAGCCAATCACATGTGAATTGGTTGCACGTTTGTTTCATGTTCATCATTCCACTGGGCACTGGAGGTATGGTCTTTGAAGGGATTAATGAGTCTGGTTGGTTGAGAGGGATAATGTTTTAATCCCATTGTGGCAGAACAATTGCATGCACCAGGAGGCTGCCAACCTTTCCCATTCTATGAAATTTAAATTGTTTTCTTGTAGTCCCTCCCTTTTTTGTGGTACTTGAGATTGACCCCAGGGACTCATGTATGCTAGGCAAGTGCTTTACCATTTAGCCACACACCAAGCTCTTTTTGTTGTGTTTACTCTTTTGTTATTTATTTACTTTGATGGTACTGGGATTTGAACGCAGAGCTTCCCTCTTGTTAGGCATTTGCTCTGCCTCTTACGTCACTCTACCAGCCCTGTTTTGTGTTGGGTATTTTCCAAATAGGGTTTCCTGAGATTGGGTCTTGTCCTCCGCTGGCTTTGAACCCAATCCTCCTGAGCTGTGCTTCCCATGTAGGTAGGGTTACAGTATGAGCCACCAGTACTTGGCTTTTGTACTTATTTTTAATACAGGATTTTGCTGCTATCTTTGTCCTTGAACATGACATACTCCTGTCTTTGCCTCCCAGTACCTCAGATTACAGATGTTCATATCCATGCTCAACTCTTTGTTTGCGTTCCTTTTTTTTTAATGGTATTGGGGTATGAACTCAGGCCTTCACACTTGAGAGGCAGGTATTCTACTGCTTAAGCTATGTTTCCAGCCCTTTTTGATCTGGTTATTTGTGAAATAGGGTCTCAGGTTTTCCCTAGGACAACTGGACCATGACTTTCCTATTTTATGCTTCCCACCATGGCCAGATGACAGATGTATGTCACCATACCCAGCTCTTTTCCTTTGTGATGGCAGGCAGTTTTTTTGTGGTGGGGGCAGGGATGACTTGGAACATCCATCCTCCCTATCTCAGCATCTTGCATAGCTTGAGATGACAGGCTTATGCCACTGGGCTCAGTTATTGGTTGTAATGAGGACTCACCAATTTTTTTGCCTTGGCTGGTATACAGTTGCCATATTCCCATCTCAGCCTCTGAAACAACTACAATTACAGGCATGATACACTAGCACCAGGCTTTATTTCCATTATTAAGGGGTTTATTGTGGCTCCTGAAAATTTTCTGGTTTAAATAGAAATATTGGTTTTAGTGGACGTGGCGATACATACCTGTTATGCCTGCTCTAGACCCTGGAGGTTTCTATATATGGGATACTATAGGAAGAGTGATTTGGAGAGAAAGTGAGAGTTCAGTTTGGGACATGACATCCACAGATGTCATGTAGGGCCAATACTCAAAAACATCTAAGAACCAATAGCAGACAGGCGGGGATGCATGCCTGACTGGGCAGAGTAGACACCATCAAATGTGTGTATACTGACTCCCTACAGGATCTCCAGGTAGGAAACTGGATCAGTACTAGAAGTCCAAAGGGAATAATGGCTTGGGCTGGCATATAGTTATCGATTGGATTGGCAGGAGAGGGCTGTAGAAAAGTCCTGGGGGTGAGTTGGGGAAGGTAAGTAAATGAGAAAGAATGGAAACAAGGATGGAGGGGTGACAAGAACCAAAAAAGATGACCCCATGCCAGAAATGAAGACAAAAAGACTTTTAAGGCTAGAGTAGTTAAGAGAATGGCAAAGTCCCATCAACTTGGCAGCCTAAATGTGATGAACATGGTGGAAGCAGATTAGCATTCATGTCTGTAACGGGTGCAGACCAGTCCTGTAGCAAGCATTTGAAGGATGTTTGTCTCATCATAAAAGTATGTCATACTTGTCATGCAGTGTTTAGAAAATACAGGATAGTGGTGAATTTCAGCCTTCCGGAATCTCTGACCCACTTACCAGGGCCATGGAAGGACCTCAGGGGTGCTCACCACCTGCACCCTGAGTGGCACAGGGGCATAGCTGGGTATGACTCCTGCCAGAGCAATTTATCCATTAGGGCAGGGCACTGGCTCCAGGCTGCAGAGGGGTGCTGAGGAGAAGCTTTTGTGCTCTAAGGCTACTCTTTCATCTGTAGCTCCACCCTTCTCAGACTAGTGCACCTCAAATTTGATGAGGAATGACAATCAACTACACATTTCCCTGGTCAGTTTTTTTCCCCAAACTACTAAAATACATACACTTTGACAGTGTCCACTTCACTCTCAGTATATGACAGACATCTCCTTTTGAAAGGATGTGCCATATAGGGAAAAATGCATAGAAAGATGTAAAATCAGGAATATTGGAAAAGACCGAGAAGTATCAACTAAGGAGAGCAGAGTTACTGTGGGGAAACAGATCAAAAATTGACAAGTGATCGTCATGTTCATTCTAGAAAAGGTGGGAAAATGTCATGAAGAGAAGAATGTTGCATTCATATTTCTCTTTTTTCCTCATCTCATCATTTAGGAGTATGATAATTGACTCAGACTCTGATGAAGAAAACTTTACCCAATGGGAAAAGAAAGCTAAGATGTATGAAATAAGCGGTGAAGGCAAGTATACACCTTCCTCAGAGAAACAGCTGTGTGCGGAAGCCTTGTCACACACAGCAGTTTCAGGATTCTAGCCAGCAAACTTTCTGTTTGTAATCACTTAGTAGCTAGTGCCACCGTTTCTTTCCTGACAAGTGCTAGTTGTGGGTATGGCTGTTTTTCCTGCCACCGGATCCATTTCCTAACACAGCAGCAACTGTTTGGGTTGCCTTAGACCTTGGGTGGCCTCCCTGTTAGATTTTTTTTTGGTGGGATAGGGCTTGAACTCAGGGCTTTGCATTTGCAAAGCAGGCACTCTACCACTTGAGCCATACCTCCAGGCCATTGAGCTCTGGTTATTTTGGAGTTGGGGGGGTCTCATGAACTGTTTCCCCAGGCTGGGCTCAAACTGCCATCTCAGCCTCCCAAGAAGCTAGTTTTACAGGTGTGAACCCCTAACCCGGGAAAACTTCTTGCCTACTAATGCTCCACTGAAAAAGCAAAGAAGAGAAAGTAAACAGCTGAGGCTGAGAAGTTTGGGGGCTGTTCTGCTACTAGCTCTTCCTCTCTTTCCCTCTGCCCTCACATGTGGGAATGACAAGGAAGAGGAAAGGAGTGAGGCATGGACTGGGTCCACCTTTTTAGCTGATGGAGTCTCAGGGTGGTGTAATGATTTAAACAATGCCAGCTACCATCTACTGGCTCCATAGTTACATAAGATAGAGAGCATCAAAAGTTTAGCCAGGACATAATCACAAAATAAAGGGTAGCCTTGTAGATTATAGAAACTTAACTTGGTGCAAAGGAAACATCTATTTTTAATTCTAATTTCTCCTAATTTCCTATGGACCAGTGAAAATATGCAGGTCTGCAGGCCTGTGTTTGGGAGCCACTGAGCAACTACATCCTGCTATTTAGAGAATGTGATTTGCCACTGCACTTTGATTGCTCTTTTATCTGTCATCTCTCAGTTCAGTAAAAACAGAAAAAAATACAGGGAAAACAAGCTAAACATAACAAAGATTCAAAACTGTGATTCATAATGTCACCGTGCCCAACTCGTTTAATTTTTGTTCAATAATCTCGTGTTATGTATCTGAAGGTGGTAAAGGAGGTATATTTACAAATGATTGTGTCTCAAATTTCAGGTGAGGTTTTTGAAGACCTACTATCGTTTAGTGACGATGATGATTTTGATGATGATGACGACGAGGAAAATGACAATTGGAAGGTTTTTGAGCTAATTAGAAAGAATTCTCTTGCTCAGGCCGTAGTTTCTTCAAATATAAAAGATGCTGATACACTTGTCTCCCAGCCCAATTCATCTTGTACTGTAGATGAGAAACAGTGTCATGCTGAAAATCTTGACCAACCACAAAATACTAACCAGGAAATGACAGGTGAAACATTGCCTACTGATGAAAAGTCTGTGTCTTTGGTGGAACAACCAAGCGAAAGGAAGAAAAACACCAAACATCTATGTCTGAAGCCTGGTAAGCCCAGTTATGCCAAGTGTCCCTGCTCCACAGAATGTGCCTAACCCAGTAAATTTGCCTGCTGTGCCTTTTCTGCTTGATGTGCTGATGTTATCAGGCCTGCCCATCCTGCCTGCAAACCTTGAGCCATTACAGCAACCTGCTAGTGGCAAAGGGGATCAGTCACCCCAGTGAAAAGGATCTTTCTAGAAGTTGGGAGGAAAACCTGTATTTGTCTTTCTCATATTCCCATGTCTTAGTATTTGCTGTTGTGCCCCTTCCCCCACAAAGTGCTTTCTCTCTAATTCCCAAAGCTTTAGAGCCTCCCTTCTAAACCACTGTTTATAATCCCACTGTTATAATGTGTTCCCACGTCTGTCTTATCAGTAGCCTCTTCAAGTGAGGCTAAAGTCTCAGGTTCTATCCTGGTGATTGGCATGTAACAGATGTTTAATAAATTTTTAAAATTAATAATGAATGACACTAAGTATTGGTTTCTGAGCCTCTGGGTACAGTTATTGGCAATGAGGGTCCTATATAAAGGTAGAAAGGTCTGGCTTGCATATTGGGTGAATGTGCTGCCAGGGATGTGAGCTATTCCATATCACTTCTTGGTCCTCATGCGCCTGGGTTCCCCATGCAACCTGGCCTCTAAGGACACATTCCTGGACTCTCATGACAGTCCTCAGTACCTGTGACAGAATCCTACCCAGCTCACTTTGCTGGTGGCTCAGTGATTTCCCTAGACACTCTCACTCAGAAGGCAGTAATATGCAGCCTTGTACATAGTTTCATTGAAAGATGTTGCCCTGTACTTGACTGTGGGGTCTCTTTCTGGGTTTACCTTTTTGTCAGTTACTTAAAGGTATCTATTTTCAGGGTACAAGTCAAGTGCTACCCTTCCAGCTGGCAGTGGATTGAAAAAGCCAAGACTTTCAAAGAAGAGACCCAGTGAAGGGTAAGTTGAAAATGTGAGACTGAGTTTTCCTGCTCAAATCCAATCACATGTGAATTGGTTGCACCTTTGTTTCATGTTCTAAAGTCTACCGGATAGTGTAAGGGGTTTGTTAAGTGGATGGACCTGGTTGGTTGAGGGAGATATTGTTTCCATTCTGAGTGGGAGATCACATGCAAGGGCCAAGAGGTCACCTGTTGGTTCCTCTCTTCTCTTTCCGACAACCCAGTCATATACCTGGCCTGGGTGCTTTGCCAAGATCCCTGCACTTTCTTTGTCAGAGTGGTCCCTTCTGCCTCCATTGCATCTCTGGCCCCTAAAGTTTCCTCTAGTGTTGCCGCAAATTTGCACCAAACCAACGCAAATGCCTTGGAGATGATGAGAAGGCAGAGTTGATGTATTCTTTTGGTCTGCTAGAATTGGAAGAGGCATGGTCAAAATGTATTCTAGGTGTTTTAATGGTTTGTATTAAACCCAGTTACTCCTACTACTGTGAATATCCTTGTGTTTAGTTTTTATGCAGTGTTGGGGATAGAACTCAGGACCTTGATCATGCTTGCAAGTTTTGTGGTATTGAGAGCTACATCTCCCACCTTCTATAAATTTTCAAAGCTTAAATGTGAAGATGAAATTGTTTAGGTGTAATTACTCCCTCCCCCACTCCTCCATAGTACTAGGGATTGAACTCAGAGTCTCATGCATGCTTGGCAAGGGCTTTACCATTCACCACACACACACACACACACACACACAGCCCTTTTTGCTTTGTGTGCTTGGGATTTTGTGTGTGTGTGTGTGTGTGTGTGTGTGTGTGTGTGATTTAATATTTATTTAATACCCAGAGGACTAGTAATCCATCATAGAATGCAGTACATCTGTACATTTGATTTTTTGAGATGGAGTTTTCACATTAACTTAGTTTGACAAACTTTTAATTAATTGCTGTTCAACACAAGTAAATTAGCAGTACCTCATAATATATGACTAACATACTTTACTACAAGTATGTTTATTGCATTTGCCTACCCTGTATCTCAGGATTTGAAGGTCTCAGCTAAAGAGCTAACTCTTGTTTTTTTTAAACATTTTATTAGAATATATTAGTTGTACAGGGGGGCTTCATTGTCTCATTTCCATGTATGTTTACAATCTTACCTTGGTTAGATTAATCCGCTCCATCATTCTCCCTCTTCCCCCTCACCCCTCCTTAAAATAATTTGAGATTTCATTGTTCCCTTTTCATACACGTATGTAAAGTACATTGACCATATTCACCCTTCTTCCCCCTCTCCATTTATTCTCTCCTTCCCAGCAATACCTAACAGGAGCTGTTTGACATTCGTGTCTTTCATTTTTAAGTGTATATTCGTTGTTCAAAGGTTTCACCATGGTATTTCATCCATTGTATATTGTACTTTAATCAAATTAATGGCCTCTGTTATTCTCCCCTATTAACAGCTTTCACTGTTATTTATATTTTTATTGTTTATTCATTTATTCATATGTACGTATATTGTTTGGGCCATCTCTCCTCCTTGCCCCCCATCATTGTTATTTCTGTATACCATCTTTTTATACAGATGAAATGAATTTTGAAATTATTTTCTGTCATTCTACTTTTCTTTCCTTCCTCTCCCTAGTCCCCTCAAACAGTCTCAGTATTAATGTCATGTTTCATATATATATTAACATATGTATCATATATATATAAATGATCTTGTTTGTATATGTGCATACATTTATCTTTTGGGTCTGTCTTCCACATATGAGAGAAAACATGTGACCTTTGTCTTTCTAAACCTGGCCTGCTTTTCTTAACCTGATGAACTCCAGTTCCATCCATTTATCTGCAAATGACATAATCTCATTTTTCTTTATAGTTGAATAATACTCCATTGTTATGTATCCCACATTTTCTTAATCCGTTTATCAGTTGTAGGGCATCTGGACTATTTCCATCACTTGATTATTGTGAATAATGCTACGATAAACATGGGTGTGCAAGTGTTTCTATTGAATCCTGACCTATATTCTTTCAGATATATGCCCAGGAGTGGTATCATATGCCCAGGAGTGTATGGTAGTTCTATTTTTAGTTTTTCTTTTTTTTCTTTTTTTTTTTGTGGTACTGGGGTTTGAACTCAGAGCCTCACACTTGCTAGGCAGGCACTTTACCACTTGAGCCATTCTGCCAGCCCTTTTTTATGTTGGATAGTTTCAAGACAGGGTCTCATGAACTATTTACCTGGGCTGGCTTTGAACCATGATCCTCCTAATCTCTACCTCCCAAGTAGCTAGGATTATAAGCATGAGCCACTGGTGCCCAGCCTATTTTTAGTGTTTTGAGGAACCTCCATACTGTTTTCCATAATAGTTGTACTAATTCACATTCCCGCCAACAGTGTATAAGGGTTCCTTTTTCCTGTATCCTCCCCAACATTTGTTGTTGTTTGTGTTCTTGATGATCGCCATTCTGACTGGAGTGAGGTGAAATCTCAATGTTATTTTGATTTGCATTTCCTTTATGGCTAGGGATGTTGAGCATTTTTTCATGTATTTAATGGCCATTTGTGCTTCTTCCTTTAAAAATTATCTGTTAAGTTCATTTGCCCGTTTATTCACTGTATTGATAATTCTTTGGGAGTTTAGTTTTTTGAGATCCCTGAAAATTCTGGTTATTAATCAGATTATCAGATGTATAGCTGACAAGATTTTTTCCCCCATTCTGCAGGCTGTCTTTTCATTCTAGTGACTGTTTCATTTGCTGTTCAGAAGCTTGTTAGTTTGATGCAGTCCCATTTGTCAGTCCTATCTCTTAAATGCTGAGCTACTCGAGTTCTAGTCAGGAAGTTATTTATTTTTTTTCAGGCTTTGAGTGTACCCACGTCAGGAAGTTACTGCCTATTATGCCTATATGTTTCATTGTTTTCCCTATTCTTTCTTATAGTAGTCTCAGATCTTACATTAAGGTCTTTGATCCACTTTGAATTGATACTAATACAGGGTCAGAAACAGGATGTAGTTTTAGTCTTTCACATGTGGATATCCAGTTTTTTCAGCACCATTTGTTGAAGAGGCTGTCTTTTCTCCAACATATGTTTTGGGTTCCATTGTAGAAAATTAAATAGCTGTGGCTGCCAGGATTTATTTCTGGGTCTTCTTGTCTATTTTTGTACCAGTACCATGCTGTTTTTGCTGCTATGACTTTATAGGCTAGTTTGAAGTTAGGTATTATGATACCACCAGCATTGTTCTTTTTTGCTTAGTATTGCTTTGGCTATTCAAGGACTTTTGTGCTTCCATATGAAATTTAGGATTGATTTTTCTGTCTGTGAAGAACATTATTGGAATTTTGATAGGGATTGCATTGGACATATAGATTGCTTTTGATAGTATAGCCATTTTTACAATATTTATTCTGCTGATCCATGAGCATGGGAGCTCTTTCCATCTTCTGATGTCTTCAATTTCTTTCTTCAGTGATTTATAGTTTTCATTGTAGATATCTTTCTCTTCCTTTGTTAAATTTCTTCCTAGATATTTTTTTGAGACTATTGTAATGGAATTGTTTTCCTGATTTCTTTCTCAGTCTGTTCATTGTTGGTGTATAGAAAAACTAATGATTTTTGTATGTTGATTTTGTATCTTACTTTACTGAAAGTGTTGGTGATGTCTGTGGTTTTTGATGGAGTTTTTAGGGTCTTTTAGGTATAAGATCTGCAAGTAGGGATAATTTCTCTTCTTCCTTCCCTATTTGAAACTCTTTTATTTCTTCCACTTGCCTTATTACTCTATCTAGGAATTCCAAAACTCTATTGAATAAGAGTAGGAAGAGTGGACACCCTTGTCTCTTTCCTGACTTTAGAGGAAATGGTTTCGGTTTTTCCCCATTTAGTATGATGTTGGCTATAGGTTTGTTGTATATAGCCTTTATTATGTTGAGGTACTTTCCTTCTATTCCTAGTTTCTTCAGAGTTTTTTTTTTTTTTTGCAGTACTAGAGTTTGAACTTGGTTCCTCATGCTAACTAGGAAGGTGTTCTACCACATAAGCTACTCTGCCAGCCCGTTCTTTGTATTAGATATTTTCAAGGTAGGGTTTTGTGAACTATTTGCCTAGGGCTGGCTTCGAACCAAGATCTAGCTGATCTCTGCCTCCTGAGTAGCTAGGATTACAGGCATGAGCCAACAGTGCACGGCCTACATCTCTTCTTTGATTTCACTGATCGTTTTTATCATTGCTTTTTTTTTTGATATTTATTCCTCTTCACTATTGTTTAAGGCTTTTGTTGTGGAATCCATGGCTTTTGAGGGAGAGCTGTTGGCCTATTGCGTTATGTTTCTGCATTGGGATTTATGCATCTGGGGTCATTTTTGGTTGGAGGTTCCAATCCCCTGTATCCCTTTTTTTTGTAGGGGGGGCTTTCTCAAAGATTATTTAGGACTGGGTAATGACTGGGTTGTGGTGTTTTCTTATCTCTAGACTTGGGGGCATGTGGCGCAGTTGTCAAACATTGAGCTTCAGTTCTCAAGATGTTGGGTGCCACTCCCAACTCCACACAGGGAGAGGAAGCTTAGCTGTTAAAGCTATTACAGTTGACAAACCCCAGCCTATAAATTGCAGCAATCCCTAAACAAGATCAATCACTGCTGCTGCTCTAGTATCTTTGGAGGTATATTGAAATAAAGATGGATCTTCATGATAGACTATTAATTGTAATCTGGGTACAGTCTTTTGTTAGGCATCTGCTCTGGTGACATGCCTCTACAGTGGGATGAGAAGCACAGGCAGGCAGCTTCCAGCAAGGATGCATGGTGCTTCGCACAGATGGAGCTGTGGCTGGCAGCTGTGTCCAGTTGGTCATAAGGGCTCTATATTTTTGTCACTGTGGGGATGGTTCTGTTGGCTGCTGTTTGTAACTGGTTTCTCTAACACTTTGCAATCCATGTACCACATGTACCATGTGGAAGAACCACGTTGGAACTTCTGGGACCCCTCGTGGACTTCCTGCGCAGAGCACATAGTACTGGGGTTTCTGAATAGGAGCCATTATATGCCCAGCAGGCAGGGCCTTGATGGATCTGTGGGCAAAGCATGCCAGGCATGGGGTTTTGTGCACCAGAGGTGGGGGAGCTTCTCGGCTCAGTGGGGGATGCATACCAGGAGTGCTATGCCTCAGAGGGTCTATGGACAGAGCATGCCAGCCATGGGCTTCTGTGCATTGAGTAGGAACTTCTGGGTGCAGAAAGGTACCATGCCTTTGGTGCTCTAGGTGCTGGTCTGGGGTTCTGGGACTTTGGTCCATGGGTCCTTGCTGTAGCTATTACATTTGACTCCTAGGGTGTTGATTCCTTGTTCTGCAGGGAGTTAGATGCAAGAATTGTCATTCAGTAAGGTGTGCCTGTGAAGAATAATGCCAGATCACTTGAGGGCTGTCTTTGGCAATCCTTCTCTCTCTCTCTCTCTCTCTTTTATTTTGTGTTTGAGACAGGATTCTACTGCTACATCTGGCCTCAAATGTGAGATACTCCTGCCTCTGCCTCCCCAGTACCTCAGACCACATCACCATACCAGTTTTTATTTGCACTCCTTTTTGTTTTCTTTTGATGGTACTAGGATATGAACTCAGGACATCACGCTCATGAAGCAGGCACTTTGCTGCTTCAACCACACCTAGCCCTTTATGCTCTGATTGTTTTTGAGGAAGGGTACTGCTTTTTGCTGAGAACAGCCTAGACCATGATCCTTCTGTTTTAAGCTTCCCACCGTGGCTGGGATGACAGACATGTGCCACCATGCCCAGTGTTTTTACTTTGACATGGGGTTTGGTAGTTTTTTTGAGCTTTTTTTTTTTTTTTTTTGGCCAGGACTGGCCTGGAAACTGTGATTCTCCCAATCTCAGCCTGCTTCATAGCTTGGGATGACAGGAGCGCACCACCATGCCCAGCTATTGGTTGAGATGGGAACTTGTGAATTTTTGGCCTGGGCTGGTCTCTAGCTATGATTCTTCTGTTCTTAGCCTCCCAAGGAGCTACGATTATAGGTATGACCCATTGGCAACTGGTTTTATTTGTATTATTAAGTGGTCTGTCATGGCTCCTAAAAATATTCTAGTTTACAATAACCTACACAATAAAGCCTTACTTTGGTAATAAATTTATCTGATATTTAAGTAGAAAAATTGGTTTCAACTGAGCATGGCGGTGCCCTCCTGTAATGCCTGGTCCAGACCAGCTGGCTTCTATATGTGGGATACTATAGAAGAGTGGAGCTGGTGGAGTGGCTCAAGTGGTAGAGCGCCTGCCTAGCAAGGGTGTGGCCCTGAGTTCAAACCCCAGTACCACCAAAATGAAAAGTCACTATAGAAAGAGTGGATTTGGAGAGAAAGTGAGAGTTCAGTTTGGGACATGACATCCACAGATGTCATGTAGGGCCAATACTCAAAAACATCTAAGAACCAATAGCAGACAGGCGGGGATGCATGCCTGACTGGGCAGAGTAGACACCATCAAATGTGTGTATACTGACTCCCTACAGGATCTCCAGGTAGGAAACTGGATCAGTACTAGAAGTCCAAAGGGAATAATGGCTTGGGCTGGCATATAGTTATCGATTGGATTGGCAGGAGAGGGCTGTAGAAAAGTCCTGGGGGTGAGTTGGGAAAGGTAAGTAAATGAGAAAGAATGGAAACAAGGATGGAGGGGTGACAAGAACCAAAAAAGATGACCCCATGCCAGAAATGAAGACAAAAAGACTTTTAAGGCTAGAGTAGTTAAGAGAATGGCAAAGTCCCATCAACTTGGCAGCCTAAATGTGATGAACATGGTGGAAGCAGATTAGCATTCATGTCTGTAACGGGTGCAGACCAGTCCTGTAGCAAGCATTTGAAGGATGTTTGTCTCATCATAAAAGTATGTCATACTTGTCATGCAGTGTTTAGAAAATACAGGATAGTGGTGAATTTCAGCCTTCCGGAATCTCTGACCCACTTACCAGGGCCATGGAAGGACCTCAGGGGTGCTCACCACCTGCACCCTGAGTGGCACAGGGGCATAGCTGGGTATGACTCCTGCCAGAGCAATTTATCCATTAGGGCAGGGCACTGGCTCCAGGCTGCAGAGGGGTGCTGAGGAGAAGCTTTTGTGCTCTAAGGCTACTCTTTCATCTGTAGCTCCACCCTTCTCAGACTAGTGCACCTCAAATTTGATGAGGAATGACAATCAACTACACATTTCCCTGGTCAGTTTTTTTCCCCAAACTACTAAAATACATACACTTTGACAGTGTCCACTTCACTCTCAGTATATGACAGACATCTCCTTTTGAAAGGATGTGCCATATAGGGAAAAATGCATAGAAAGATGTAAAATCAGGAATATTGGAAAAGACCGAGAAGTATCAACTAAGGAGAGCAGAGTTACTGTGGGGAAACAGATCAAAAATTGACAAGTGATCGTCATGTTCATTCTAGAAAAGGTGGGAAAATGTCATGAAGAGAAGAATGTTGCATTCATATTTCTCTTTTTTCCTCATCTCATCATTTAGGAGTATGATAATTGACTCAGACTCTGATGAAGAAAACTTTACCCAATGGGAAAAGAAAGCTAAGATGTATGAAATAAGCGGTGAAGGCAAGTATACACCTTCCTCAGAGAAACAGCTGTGTGCGGAAGCCTTGTCACACACAGCAGTTTCAGGATTCTAGCCAGCAAACTTTCTGTTTGTAATCACTTAGTAGCTAGTGCCACCGTTTCTTTCCTGACAAGTGCTAGTTGTGGATATGGCTGTTTTTCCTGCCGCCTGATCCAAAAGCAACTGTTTGTGCTGCCTTAGACTTGGGGTGTCCCTCCTTGTGTAGTTCTTGGCTACCTAGAGTTCCAATGAAAAAGCAGAGGGAATAAAGTCAAGAGCTAAGTCTGAAAAGTTTGGGGACTTCTGGTACTCACTTTTCTTCTCTTTCGTTCCATCCTTACGTGTAGGAATAACAAGGAAGAGGAAAGGAGTAAGGCCTGGGTTCCACCTTCTTTTTAACTGATGGAGAGACTCAGGGTGGTGTAATGGTTTAAACAATGCCAACTACCATCTACTACCTCCATAGTTACATGAGATATAGAGCACCAAAAGTTTAGCCAGGACATAATCACAAAATAAAGAGTAGTCTTTTTTGTCTTTGGTGGTTTTGGGGTTTGAACTCAAGGCTTCATGTTTGCTATGCAGGCAAAGAATAGTTTTGTAGATTATAGAAACTTAACTTGATGCAGAGGAAACACCACATTTTATTCTAATTTCTCTTAATTTGCTATGAAGCAGTGAAAATATGCAGGTCTGCAGGCCTGCGTTTGGGAGCCCTTGAGCAAGTACATCCTGCTCTTTAGAGAATGTGATTTGCCACTGCACTTTTGCTCTTTTATCTGTCATTGCTCTCAGTAAAACAGAAAAAGGAAATACAGGGAAAACAATCTAAAAATAATGAAGATTCTTAACTGTGATTCATAATGTCACAGTGCCAATTTGTTTAATTTGTGCTCATAATCTGATGGTTAGTGTTTACAGAGGGTATAGAGTTGATATGTTTATAAATGATTGTATCTTGAATTTCAGATGAGAATTTGGATGACCTACCAACCATTATTGATGATGATGATGATGATGATGATGATGATTGCAATTGCACTTTGAAGGCTCCTGAGAAAATTAAAAGGAATTCGCATGCTCAGGGCCAAGTTTCTTCAAATAAAAAAGATGCAGAAGTATTTGCTGTCTGCCGTCACAACTCACCTTATATTGCAGATGAGAAACAGCATGGTGGTGACAATCATCAACCACCAGGTGCTAACCTAGACATGACAGGTGAAAAGTTGCCAACTGATGAAAAGTCTATGTCTTTGGTGGAACAACCAAGCAAAAGGAAGGAAAAAAACAAACATATATGTGTGAAGCCTGGTAAGCCCAGTTATGCCAAGTGTCCCTGCTCCACAGAATATGTCTAGCCCGCCAAATGTGTCCGTTGTGCCTTTTCTGCTTGATGTGCTGGTGTTATCAGGCCTGCCCATCCTGCCTGCAAACCTTGAGCCATCACAGCAACCTGCTAGTAGCAAAGGGGATCAGTCACCCCAGTGAAAAGGATCTTTCTAGAAGTTGGGAGGAAAACCTGTATTTGTCTTTCTCTTATTCCCATGTCTTAGTATTTGCTGTTGTGCCCCTTCCCCCACAAAGTGCTTTCTCTCTACTTCCCAAAGCTTTAGAGCCTCCCTTCTAAAGCACTATTCATAATCCCACTGTGTTATAATGTGTTCCCAAGTCTGTCTCATCTCATCACTAGCCTCTTCATGGGAGGACTCTTACTCATCTAAGTGAGGCTAAAGTCTCAGGTTCTATCCTGGTGATTGGCATGTAACAGATGTTTAATAAATTTTTAAAATTAATAATGAATGACACTAAGTATTGGTTTCTGAGCCTCTGGGTACAGTTATTGGCAATGAGGGTCCTATATAAAGGTAGAAAGGTCTGGCTTGCATATTGGGTGAATGTGCTGCTAAGGATATGAGCTATTCCATATCACTTCTTGGTCCTCATGTGCCTCAGTTCCCCATGCAACCTGGCCTCTAAGGACACATTCCTGGACTCTCATGACAGTCCCCAGTACCTGTGACAGAATCCTACCCAGCTCACTTTGCTGGTGGCTTGGTACAAATCAACTACTGTTCTTCCAGCTGGCAGCGAACGCAAAAAGTCGAAACCTTCAAAGAAGAAACCCAGTGAAGAAGAGAAAGTTGAAACATGTGAGACTGAGTAAGTACTGCTCAACCCAACTGAATGTGAATTGGTTGCGCATTTGTTTCATGTTCAGCATTCCACTGGACACTGGAGGGGGAGTTCAAGGGGGATTAAGGAATTTGGTGTGAGGGGGATAATGTTTCTGTCCCTGAGTAGCTAGAACTGCAGGCAAGGTCACCATGCCCAGTTTAGTTTCTTTATTTTTTATTAAGCTGTGTATAGTTGATTCTGAAAACAACTGATCATTTAGCTCAAGGACATATTAATACTTAAAACAAAAGCAACACATTTTTTCATTTAGATTCCAGGAACTTTTCCTTTAAACATATGATATAAAAAGCAGGATTTATTGTCTTTATTTTACTTCTATTTTGGAGTAATAGTTACTTATATCTGAATTATCTTACAAGAGAGGATAATTAAAGAATTGTATATTGCTTTTTTATAAGTATTTTTTGTTTTGTGTTGTTTTTTATTGCTGGAGATAGAGCTCAGGGTTTCATGCATGTTAGGCAAGCATTCTGCCTTTGAGCTATACCCCATATTGTATGTTACTTTTAACTCTTATTTTGGGACAAAATATGTATCTTAAGGGAGCAGAAGGGGAAAGGGTGGGTGGCATGTTAGGCATTGGAACAACAGAACAGCTTGAATATGAGGAAAAGACTGTGTCCTTGTGCTTTTTTGTTGGCTGAGATGGCTGGTGGCAGGTCACCATGTACTATCTTAGGTAGATCCCCTTTCTACAAGGTATCTTTTCTTGATTCCTAGATATATATTTAAGCTGTTTTGCCTATAGGGATGGGTGCCTTTGGTAGTGTCCAGGTTGCTTCACTAGAGAATATGACAACAGAAGGGAGAAGCTGCCCCCTTGGTGTTCTTCTCAGTCTGCCTCATCCAGAGGAAACTAGCCTGTTTGGACTCTTACCTAATGCCTTGGTGCTTCCTTTGTCAGTCTTTGGGCTTCCTGTTGTGATTAGCATTGTTCCTGTGTAGGCTGCTTGCTGGTCATGGTGTCTGATATACCTGATTTGGGGTCTTGTTAGTTTCTTTGATGTGGGGTGCTCAGCCTACAGTGAAGTGGCATAGGCCTTGAGGGTGAAGTTTGCTAAGCTAGAAGGCCAGCTTTCCCTGAGTTACACACTGGAGTCACATTTTCTGCTGTATCCTGCAGATGGTTCAGGTCTTCTTCTGCCACCTTTTCTGATGCAAATTTGCTTTCAAAACTAGGTAATTGTAGGCAGAAATGTTTGAGTCACCCATCTCAGGCTTTGGGATGGAGACACTTTGCCTAGTCTGGTACTTTGCTTGCTCTCTACCCACCCCAACCTCCTCACATAGGGTTTATGTTGTGATTTGAGAGTTAAGCATTCTGGTATACTCTGTCTCAGGAGTCATGTGGAGTCAGAAACTCACTCTGTTTGCCTGTTTTATCTTTCTAGCTCTGTGTGCTCAACTCTGGACTTGTGGATTATTGCAGCCAAGATAAAAATACTTCAGTCTAAAAAATAGTTGTTACAGGTGTGAGTCCTTTCTGTGCTCAGTACTATTCTTTGTGCCATTTGAATTAGGCCTTGAAATATGGGGAAGCAATTGGATTTAATGGTCAAAAGACTCATTGTCTCTATGACCTTTGGGCAAGTCCTTTCTGAGCTTCAGTTTCCTCATCTGCAAGGTAGAGATGATAAAAACAATAATAGCTTCTTTGAAGGGTGGTTGTGAAGATTAAATATAATGATGCAAAAGGAAGTTCTTTGCATATGATAAAGTACCACGTGAAATGTGGTTCTCAGTAGAAGTGGAGATGGGGTCATCTAGGCCATGGGAAAATAGGTTATAGTGAGGCATGAATATGGAAAGTCACAATTCGTGTCCAGGGAATGTTTTAGTTGCCCTCTTTGGCCAAAGTGGAAGATGGTGGCTGGAAATAGAGGTTGAGACCAGATTAATCCAGTTCTTGAATGCCAGGCCAAGCAGTCAATGAAAAACCAAAGGGGCCTGCCTAGGAAAATGAGTTAGGAGTGCTGTATATAGTTGGATTAAAAGAAAAAGAGCCTGGCTACAGGCACATGGTTAGAAAATACTATTATCAAGGCAAAAAAGAGAGAATAGGAACTTGAACTAGGGAGGTGACAGTGGGATTGGGAAGGAGGAGCGGGCTGGCTGGAAGAGCCTACAGGAAGGAGACATCAGTCTGTCTCTGTGCCCAGTTGAACATGGAGTAAGGAAGAAAATTAAAATCTTTGAGGTTTTCAGCCAGTTATAACAGAAGTTTGATAATTGAGCATCTTGTACTGGGGGTAAACTTGTGTTAGTCAATTGGAAATTTGCATTGGGTAATTGTAAATTCAGAGCTAGATCTCAGCATACAGCATAAAACTGCAGACACAGGTGTGAGATCAGTCCTATTGAAGTTGAAACTAGGCCTCACACCTCTGAGAAAAGGCTACCAATAGAGGACTCGTGGAGTGGCTCAAGCAGTAAAGAGTGCCTGCCTATCAACTTTGTGGCCCTGAGTTCAAACCCCTGTGCTGCCAAAAAAAAGGGGGCTACCAATGGAAGCTTGGGAAATGCCCCCATCTAAGGATATGGAAGAAAAAAGGAGCAACACGTTTTCAAAATCTCTCTTGATCTGATTTTTCTGCATGCATTTCTTTTCAACTCAAGTTGAATTTACCTTTGCAGGAAACCTATGTGCAACATACCTGGATGTTTCTTGCATGACCTTGAAAAGTCTCAACGATATTCTGGAAGGAATTTCAAGCAAAATAAAGATGAGCTGATTGAGAGACTCTACAGACTGTTTAACACCACCATCTTTGATGAAAAGGTAGACTAAATGACTAAACTTTATTGAGCACCTCCTGTATACCAGCACTCTTGGGTGCTATGTGGTATGCTAACCATGAATACTCCCTGCCCTTGAGAAGTGTCAGTTTAGGTGGCAAGATGAGATGTGCATATGAGAAAAAATAGAGATGTTTATAGATTATTCTATATGGGGCAGATGGTTATTATGGCAGGAGATCAGCAGATGGAAGACCAACTGAGAGCCTGAGCAGTTAGAAAGTAGAATTGCCTGGAGGAAGTGAGGTTCCTGATTCTTTTTTTTTTTTAACATTAAAACTAACAAAGCCAACATTTTAATTCTATTTGTTAAACATTCAGTGTATAAGAGGCAACCTGAAAAATAGAAATAATTAACTCAGGGTCAAAAGTGGGCCTTTTTAAGGGAGAAGGCCTCTGGTTCTTGAACATGTTGAAATCATCAAGTTAAATGAAATAAGCAAGACTGATAAGGTAAATATCACACATTCTCTCTCATATATGTAATCTAGACCTAAAAAGAAAAAAGAATGACATGAGTATAAAATAGTGTGTGTATGGGGACTGTTTGGGGGTTGAAACCAGTGGGAGGGGGAGGATAAAAGGAGAGAGTGAAGGGGGGGATGAATATGATTGAAATATGTCATATGCATGTATGAAAATAAAATAATGTAACCCATTTAAAATTGTTTAAAAAGCCAGTGCTGGTGGCTCACACCTATAATCCTAGCTACTCAGGAGGCAGAGATCAGGAGGATCTTGGTTCTAAGCCAGCTCAGGTAAATAGTTCAGCCCAGGCAAATAGTTTGTGAGACCCTATCTTGAAGAAACCATCACAGAAAAGGGCTGGTGGAGTGGCTCAAGGTGTAGGCCCTGAGTTCAAACACCAGTTCAGCCAAAAAAAAAAAAAAAAAAAGTTTAAAAAGAGGACATGGAGGAATAAGAGAGTAATAGAGGGGGGTGAATTTGACCAAAGTACATTACATGCATGTATGGAAATAACACAATGAAGCCCCTTTGTGCAATTAATATATGTTAATAAAAAGAGAAGAAATACCTGATATAATGGAAATGCACAAATAGTTGTTATTACTTACAGAATAATGATAAGAGAGAAAATCTGTATGCATTTAGAACAGATACAACTTTTAAAAAATATTTTTGGTTTGTCATCAATTAAATCCATGATGCGGAATCCGTGGATACAGAGGGCCAATTGTAATTACTACCTCAGAATTATTGTTAGGCCTATGAAATTTAATATTCGTAAAATGCCTAGAATTAGGGTATAGGGCATAGTAAGTTATTCTTGTTTGTTGGTAATGTAGGACCAGGTAATGGATAGCCTTGGGAATCAGAGAGGTTAATTTTTTTTTTTTGGTGGTGGTGGCAGTACTGAGGTTTGTACTCGGGGCCTTGAACTTGATACGCAGGCACTATACCACTTTTGGCCACACTCCCAGCCCTTTTTGATTTAGTGATTTTTCACAAAGGGTCCCATGCTTTTTGACCCAGGCTGGCCTCAAATTCTCAATCTTTGCCCTTCCTCTCTCTCCCCAGCAGCTGAAATTACAGGTGTGAGCCATCGGGCTCCTGGCATGATTGCCTATTAATTGTCCTTACCTAGACTTCAGCTTGGCTTTCATTCTCCCCAGAATATATTGACTTGCCTACCCTTTGAATAGATTTCTCCCCAGTGTACTCTGAGCCAAGAACCTAGGGGTCCTCTTCCTTTTTATTAGAGGGAAAAAAATCTCTTGAGTTCCTATTTTTTGGTCTGCTTACAACTGCTTTCTGATTCCTTCCATTTGCTTTTCATGCTTAGCTGCCAGAGAAAATAGAAATCACCTGGAATAAAAAGATGCTGCAAACTGCTGGCTTATGCACCACTAGTGAGAGACAGCACCCAAAGAGGGAGCGCTACGCCAAGATTCAGATTTCTCTGAAAGTCTGCGACTCTGCAGGTGATGGCAGGAGCACAGCAGCTGTACCTTAGTGCCCTTTCCTTCTGATACCACATCTGTTCTGTTTTTGTTTTTTTGGCAGAACTGGGGATTAAACTCAGGCCCTCGAGCTTGCTAGGCAAGCACTTTTCCACTTGAGCCATGCCCCAGTTTCTGCACCTGTTAAATTACTCTTAGCTGGCAGCCTGTGCCACAGCTTGAACTGTCATTCCTGAATGGAGAGGCCTGCTGTGTGTTGCTTAGAGGACATCACTATTGGGTGTCTAACCATTCCTGGGAATCCATTTCATTAGTCTCTCTGCCAGGCCTGTCTCCATGTTCCTCTTGCCAGAGCCAGCGTCTCCATTCTCAGTAGCTGAGAGTGAAGGTCCCCTCTAGTCATTCATCAAACTTTCTTTCTCCATCTTTGCCTTCACCCACATATGGGCTCTCATCCCCTCCCTCTTCTCCTTGCTGTGGTCAGTCTCCTGTGCTTTCTTGCTGAGAAACCTAGGACTTTTCAACCCTAGGTGCCTGACTTTGGAGGCTATTGTAAACTGCCTCTGCTCTCCTTGGCTCATCGTGTCTCACTACTTCGTCACTTAGCCTATGCTGCAACCAGGCTCCCTTCATGCTGGCCCTCAAAATGCACACCCTATGCTTTCCTGGACCCAACCTTTACTCACATTTTCACCTGAATGCCTTTTTTGTGGGTAGTACTGGGGATTAAATTCAGGGCCTTGTATGTGCTGGGCAAGTGTTCTAAGACTGAGCCACATCCCCAGCCCTTATTAGCTCTTAGGAGATAAGGTTTTGTTGTTGTTGTTGTTGTTGTTTGTTTTGTTTTTGTTTTTGTTTTTTGAGATAGTGTCTCACTATGTTACCCAAACTGGTCTCAGACCCCTGGGCTCAAGTGATCCTCCTGCCTCTGCCTCTAACTTTGTAAATTCAATCAATTGTTGAGGGCCCAGCTCAGATCCACATCTCATCCTGGAGCTTCTCCTGACCAAATCCCATGGCATAGCGATTGCCCCCTCCCTGCCCACTTATGTTCCTGTAGGAAAGAAACTACATCTTGTTCTTGTATATTTCTAAAAAGATGAACGTGCTGTAGCTGCTCTGAAAAGACCTCACCTATGGCTCTGCCATTAACAAAATCGATTTGATGTAG